AAAAAAAAAAAAAAATCTATTCTATTTTCTTTATTGCAAATATTAAAAGCATCGGGCATCTTAATTGACTTCCGTTCATCAACCTTTTATTCTGTTTTGTTCCTATTTCATTTAAATAAAATAACTTTAAGTTATTTTAACTTCCTACTGCCTCTTAACTCAACAAGCTCTTTCCATTCTACAACACTTACAAGTTTTACATAATAATTATGTATTATTATACTGTATGTTTATTTTTAGTTTTATTAACTTTAAATCAAAGCAAAAAACTTGTTTAATTTTATTTTTTGTAGTTGTAACTTAATTTTGTAAAATGATCTCATACATTTGTTAGTTAGACATCTGTTGGTTAGTAATGATATTTATGAATATTTAAAATTAATTAAACTACTCAAAAAAAAATGTTAAATTTTTCTTTTGCTCGTTTTATTTTCACAACGGTTATGCTAATTACATATTTATACTATTTGTTTATTTATTATTCCCTTTTTTGTATTTATTTATTTATATTTTTGATTATATGCTCTAACTAAAACCAATACGATTTGGTGGTTATTTGACGCCATCATTAATTTAACACCTAAAAACTACTTGGAGTTATTTTTCTAAAACTGAAACATAAATATAAAATATTTTTCATTTAATTCTATTTCTATATTTTTTCTTAAAAATCTTAAAAAACGGTGATATTCAGAGTATAAAAAGTTAGAAGAACTTTCTTTATTTATCTGGTTGTTTTAGTTAATCCGATTTCAAAAAATGAAACCTTTTTAGAGAAATTGAGAGAGAAACAAAGAACGTGTGTGTAAGTTTCAGAGAGTGTGAGAGAGAGAGAGAAAAAAATAGACAATTAACTATCCTTTAAAGCGGATTTTTACTTGTAAACTAAAAGCAATTTATAAAAAATTATTAGAAAATGAGTATAAAGACAATTGGATCAAACTGGTGAACCTAATTTGTTCTGTTTTCATTAAAATTGGTGTTATGTTTTTGTAAGATCAGATCATATTTATTCTTTAGTGTTTTTTTCATCAAATTGTAAAAAATGAACGGTTATAACGTTTAAAAAAATTTTTTCAACAAAATAGGTATATTCACACCCTCAATTTTTATATAGTCACAAAATTGGTATCAAATACGAAAATTCCTGGCACTGAGCCATTTGTGTTACCACTGTTTTTTTTTTATTAAGCAAAGAGTTTTGTTATATACTAAAATTTACAACGAAATAAATCGTGTTAATAAGAGAACTGGAGCAAGCAGAAGACATAAATTGTCTTATCATCAAGCCCCATCATAAAATTTACACTTAAAAATTGTCAGTTAATATAAAAAATGAAGAGTAGCTACCCAGTAAGCACAAAGACGTTTAAAAGACGTTTTAAAGATGTCTTTAAAGAGGTCTAAAAAGCGCACTTGTAGACGTCTAGATCATAAGGCTAAAAGACGTCCAAATAAAGACGTCTTTATAAAAACGCGTTTTAGACGTATTTTAGACGTTTATTTCAGGATGAATTTAAGTACATGACGTAACATTTTCGCATAGTATGTGGTATATATTCATTGTTTTTATACGTCATATATTCTTATAAATTCGTATATACAAATTATACATAGGAACCAGCAATCTAAATAATATAGCTACACCACCAACGGTTAATGATGCAAAGATGAAAATAATAAATAACAATAACAATTATATATCAAAACAGTATTTAAAACATTTATTACTTATCCTTAGTTATTATAAAATTTATCCTAAGCATTGTTAGCTAATTTTTTACACCATACTTGACTTATTATATGGCTTGTGGGTATATAAAAACTAAAAATACTGATATTTATTTTATATATTATTCTTGCCATTTTCACTTATTATCATAATCAGTCAACTATCTATTAAAAAAGCAAAATAATTATTAATAAAAAAAAGATATATTAATATTGTAGCAATTATTTTAGTGATTCCTGTGACAACAATTTTAGCAATTGTGTAAAAAAGTAATTTAATTTAAAGTAATTTACACTTAAAACTTGAACAAATTATTGAAAATAATAAAAACTATGTTTTTACTTTGAATATACGACATCTACTTAACGCGTAATGACAAAGCCGTCAAAAAGAAGTCATAATGACATATTTATAAACAAGTCTTAAAAAAGACGTCTTTTAGCCTTGATCTAGACGTCTTTTAATGCGTCTTTTAGACTATTTATTATGCGTCTTTTAAACGTCTTTTTAAACTTCAAAAAGACGTCATTTTAAAAACTTCTTTATAAAAGACGTCTAGAAGATGTCTTAAAAATTGACGTCTTCTAGACGTTTTTTTATCTTTTAAAAAGACGCCTTTTGAACGTCATTTTAAATACGCATTCATATAAGACGTCTAAAAGATGTCTTTAAAACGTCTACTAAAGTGCGTCTTTACCTAGACTAGTTTTAGTCGTCTATAAGTGTCTAAAATGCGTCTTGTGCTTACTGGGTAAGTACATAACAATAGTTTTAAATACGTTAGTTACAATATAACTAATAACTTAATATAAATATTAGTGTTGAAATATAACGCATTATTTCAAAGATTAACAATAATTTAAAAGTATTAAAATTTTTCAACAAAAAATTAAATTAGATTAAAATTGCAACAAAAGAGAAGTAGTGTCAATAACTATTTTTTTAGATAATTTATATTATTTGTGTATTATTTTTAAAAGAGATATTTTAAATCAAAGTTTTTTTGTAATAAGAGATTCTTAGATTCTTTTCTAAATTTTTTCAAAGAGATGTGATGTACATTATTTTTTGTGATGAATTTTGAAAAATTTTTCCATAGAAACGGTCCGCGGTATTGGATTTTGTAAGAATTTAGTTTTGAATTAGTTTTTGGAACAATAAAGTTATTAATTGAAAATTTAGTAGGATACTTGTGCGAGATTTCACTAAAGTAAGACTGAAATACAATAGGAGAGAGTTCATGTTTAGTTTAAAACATGAATTGTAGAACTTGGTGTATATTAAGTTTATAGACACTTAGGGCACCGAGCTTCCTCAAAAGAGGTTCACATTGAAAAGTTCTGTGGGCACCAAATATAATCCTGCATGCATGTTTTTGCTTACTATGAAGTTTTTTAACTTACCATAGTTAGTACTACCCCATACAATATTGCAGTAAGAGATAAAACTATGAATAAATAAAAAGTTTATTTTTTTTAAAGAAGAGATGTTAAGATATGATTTAGTTTTATATAATACATAAATATTTCTTGATATTTTATTTTCTATATATTTTATATGTAGTTTCCATGACAAATTTTCATCTATTATTGCTCCTAGAAAATTAACGATTGGTTCCCTTTTAATAAATGTTTTATTGATTAGGAGATTGGGTAATTTTAGAGGAACATCATCACCTTTACTTGGTTTGGAAAAAAAAATAAATTTAGTTTTTTCTACATTTAACGAAAGCCTATTTCTTGTATACCAATCGTTTATTTATTATATGGTTAACAGTGTCAAAGGCTTTCGACAGATCAATAAAAACTCCAAGAGTAAAATAGTTATTATTGAATGCATCCGATACATGATTAACTAGTTCGATTATAGCATGGTTTGTTGAATTATCATTTTGAAATCCAAATTGTTTACTGTACAGCAAACTGTTTAACATCAAATAGTTGTAAAGTCTGTTGTACATAATTCGTTCCAATAATTTTGAGAAGCAGGGTAAAACGAAATAGGTCTGTAGTTGTTAATATTAGTTTCGTCATTAGATTTAAAAATGGGAGTGATTATGGCAATTTTAAGTTTTTTTGGCACACCACCTAGCTTTAATGAAAGATCAAAATATGAAATAATAACGGTTTAATGATATCGAAGACTGACTTAACAACATTTACACTTATTTTGTCAATGCCCGCACTTTTATTACTTTTAAGACTGTTGAAAGCATTCCTTATTTCGCTTAGATTTAAATTAGATTCTTCCATAATAGAATTACATGATTAAATGTAAGATTCAAACTTTGTGGTACTTGACGGAATTTTACTCGCCAAGTTTGGCCCTACTTCGAGAAAAAATGAGTTGAGTTCTTTAGCTATTTTTTTTTATCGTAAATCATTTTCCCATCAACTAAAAGCTTTTGTGGGAGATTATTTTTTTCACTTTTATTTTTACCAATTATTGGTTTAATTATATTCCACGTTTTTTTTGTGTCGCCGTTAGTTTTTTCCAACAACTATGTATAATAAATTTTTTTTGAGTATTTTTTGTTTTTTTCAAATAAGTTTTTATAGTTTTTGTAGTTTATTTCATTTTTATATGTTTTTATATGTCACAGCTGCCATTTTTAAGAAATTTGACTTTCGAAGTTAATAATCTTTTCTTACATTTTTATTTACTGTTTTTCGAGTTTTTTTTTGTCGTAATAATTTTGTGACTAATATAGTTTAACTCTCATAATATTCCTTTTCTCGATCTTTCATTATTTGTTACTTCCTATAAATGTAGTTTCTAACTTAAATAGTTATTGAGACTTATAGAGTAATTATAGAATCTTGACTTTTTTGGGAAATGATTTTTTAAAAAAAGAGAGACCATAATTATCATTAAAGTATTTTTTTTTTACGATCTTATCACAGAGCACCGCTGAGAAGAATTTAATAGGAATTTTACGCTTCTTTCCTAACCGATGTCACAAAACATGCCCAGAGGTGGGGTTGGAACCACGGATCCTTTGTTTCAGAGGTAAGTGCGCTACCACTGCGCCATGGCTGCTCATAAAATAATTATGGAGATATTTTTGGAAGAGAGTTTATTAAAAAAAGTATAAATATCATCAAAAAATATTTACCATAGTTATGCAGTTAATGTTTCAATCGAAAATTTTTTTATCTGTCAGGAAATAAATTTTTATCTTTTAAGCCTAACTCTGCATTTTCTAAAAATATTTTTTAGAAGAAAGAAGTTGTTTAAAATTTTCTTAATAAAAGAAGAAAAGTTCCATTAAAATTAATACAGACATGGTATGCCATTATTACTTTTAGTTAAGTGTTTTTTATGAGTTAGTTGTCTATAAGTGACTATTGTTAAAGCTGTCTACAATACAGAAGGTTATTAAATGTTTTTTAAATATTTAAATAGTTTTTTGATACTATTGAAAAACATTTGGAATTTAATAAATTAAGTGTATAAAAACTTGTGTTAATCAACAAAATCTGGCAAATTAATTTTTTTTTTATTCACTTTTGTAAACTTTCCTTTGAGTGTTTAGATATATGGAAATGAATACTAAAGTTATTTTAGGCAACATCACTTTGATTTATCTATGTTTGTTATAATTAAATGTTTATCAGCTGAAAAATTTATCGACGATGTGATTATCTATTTTAACTATCCAAAAAAGTTTAGTTGTTTTAACTTACTTAAAGTCTTTTTAATTGTTTTTTTTTACAGTGTTTTTTATCAGTAATTTTTGTCAGTGTAGTTTGAACTTTAATTCTAAAAGGATACTATAAATAAAATCCAATTTTGATATTTAAATGAAACACATTTATTAATTTAAAAAGGCAGCAAATAAAGTCTTTTTAATAAATAATAATCAGTACCTTATAAAAAATAAATTAACAACTTCATTAAAAAAAGCGAACGAACAGTTTAAAATTTTTATTAGTGGGGCCAACGACAATCCTTCGCAACTAATTGAAAAACTGATGTGGTAGAAAATGATGCAACCTCTGGGTATTACGTTTGTCTCAGTTATTATGAACACATTTCAAAATATTTACAATTAATAAAATAATTGAAAAATAATTTATAATTTATAATATTAGCTAAATCCAGCTAAAGGATAAATCCAACTCAGGCTTTTACATATTAGTTAGAAATTTTGAATGATTTTATTTTGTGAAAACGTTGGGAAACAAGTTTGGATCATAAGTTTTTAGAGAACATCTACATCTTTAAAAAGTTTCTACCATTCATTTCTCTCAAACTGACCATTTTGATACGCGATCTGTTGAAGTGGATGGTGGCAGCTGGCCACAAAACAGCGTTTATTCAGGCAGTTTTAAATGTCATAAAAAGATTTGACAAGTTCTATAAGGAGATATAAATCCATTAATGGGAATATTTCCCTAATCAAGACGTCGTCAGTCCCACTTATGATTGGCATTTATCTAATACCGCTAAACATCTTTGCAGAATCATCAACAAGACATATTCCTAAAAAGACTCAAAGCTAGATTTGATTAAGCTCCGTTTTTGTATGTCTCCTGATTTTGAAAGAAACTTAGATTCGACATTATTTCGTCTACAAAGGTGAATACTTAATTGGTTTGAAGAAAACTTTAGGTGGCTAACGTTTGGCTGACCGATAGCTTGCTACTAATAACATATCAGAAAGTTATTGGTTTGCCATTTAGTATAGCTGCCACTATCCAATCAGCACACAAGTCAATAGGATTTAGTATAGCTGCCACTATCCAATCAGCACACAAGTCAATAGGATAAGCTTTTTAGATAACTAATGATTACCATTAGTTATACTATTACTATTAACTATTAGTAAACCATTATCACTTGTAAAACATTAGTAAGATAACCATCGGTTGCAATCGGAATCAATGCATCAGAATTTTTTGCAAATCATAAAAAGTTTTACCAAAAATGTGTATTGCTGAGGGTACTTTTTACACTTAGTTTTTTAAAAACAATAATAAAATGCAAAAAGATTCTGTATTTTGTACATTACTAGCTGTTTGTATTTTAGAAGGAGATACTACTGCTTTTTGGGTATTTTGTGTTTGCACAAGCTAAAGGTAAATAAAACGTTTTATATAATTTTATTATTAGTATTCATTTCTATAAACTATTATAAAACTTTTCTTGATCTATTCTTTTGAGGAAATTTTCGAAGATGGCAGAATTATATGTTAAATATACAAAATAACAACTTTTCAACCTAATGTATTGGTATTCAGTACCATTTAAAAGTTGTTTTCAAATTAATTCAATAAAAAAATGCAATTTGTTTATGTTAAGCAGAAGCACTTAAATTATTAATGGTATTTTAAATGATATGCTGCAGACATACCAACGGTTATAACCGTTTTTTACTTTTAAAATACGCTGTTGCTAGCGCAACAGTACCTTTACTTTAATTTATATTATATAGTCACGGTAGTGGTTTCATATTAGTTGAAATTTTTGTTTGTTTAAAGAATGCCAACACTAAGAAAGTTTAAAGTAAGTATTACATTTAACTATAAGAAAAATCATACCAAATCAGAGTTCTTTCACACTAAAATATAATCCTTTTATTAGGACAACAAAAATGATAAAAAGATTTCAATTGATATTTATCGAGAATTTATTATTTAAAAGTAAAAATTCCTCAAAAAAATATTTTTATATATGAAGCAATAACGAAGTTTTTGTAAATTCCTAATAAAAAATCGCTAAATGTTGCTACATTTAAAACACATATAGAGCTACCATTAAACAATAATAGAGCTACCATTGCCTATATATTACAGGTCGTGGTAAGTGTCCATTTCAAAATTTATTCTTTACATAGTCGTTTTGTTTAAATAACTTTTAGTGAGTAATAGAAAACAAAAAAGTTTAAAATATAATTTTTTCTTATGAATAATGCTAAATATTTACATATTATAAAATTGTAAACTTCTATAAAAATAAGTTTTTTTTCAATTTTCTTTCTTTCAGTCTTTATAGTTTTTTCTCTTATTTTCAATTGTTATAGTTTTTTATATCTATATAAATTTTATGCATAAAAGATCTATAGAACTTTAATAACATTTTGTCATGTATTCTAGATAATTTGAAAAAAATAAAATAAAAAGTTATAATTATAATTGTGTAAATAAAGGATTTGAATTCTCGCGATGCACTTCGGGAGTGCAGCAATATAATTGCTTTGGCTAATAAAGCATACTGTAAAAACAGTTTTAAACATTGTGTATAAGGCAAAGAACTATAGCTTTATTAGATAGTATATAAATGTTATTAATTAAGTTTAAGAAGATATTATCCCTATGCAGTTTTTATTTATTAAATGCAAAACTTGAAAAAATTTTTAACATTACAAAATATAAAGTTTACCTAGGTTAAATATTGGCACACACATTTGCTAAGATTTTTTTATACAAAAACATGCTAAACTTTTTCTTGTTTTTAATTCGATTATAAAACTGCCATAAGTGCCATGTCAAGCATGCATTAATAATTATTCGTAGAAGCATTAAGTTTATTATTAACATATAACAGATAAAAATAATAATTTATTTATTTATGTATTAAAAAAAAAGATATCAATATTAAAACACTAGAAAAATTTATTTTAATCATAGTTTGCCTAAAAAGATAAAAAAAATTTACTAAGAGTTTTAAGAAACGGAAAGAAGTATAAATGTTAAAATTAAAAAAAATTTTCAGCATCAGTTATGTTTACAATAAAAAAGCAAAATTTAACTTTTTATTTTTTATGAAATCTTAAATGCCTATAAGATTTTTTTTTTTAAATCCATTTACTCGATGTCATATTTTAAAATGTTTAAATTGCTAACAATTTTTATACAAATTTTTTTTCGAAGATTTTAACGTCTTTTAATTCTTAAAAAATCTATATATGATCAACCTAGTTCTTTAGAAAAAGTAAAAAGTTCTTTTTGAAAAAGAGTAAAAATAAAGGTACACCAAAAGTTTCAAGAGTATCAGTACTTTTTTAAACTTTTTTGTTTTAATTAAAAAAGTTTTTTCTACAAAAAATTAACTTTACTTAATTCAAGCCTAACCTGCATTTAAAAAGTTCTAACCAAAAACAACATACGTTTAAGAGCTGTTAAAGTTTTTTTTAAAAGGTTTTATTTTCAACGGTAATGGAGATCGTTTGTGATCCTCTTTCTTTCTTAGTTTTCTATAGTATTGTGAGGCTTTGACTTGCATACTTCTTGGTAATGAAATGATTTTGAACTATAACTATATAAAAGTAAATTCAATAATATTATTTAGACATTAAAATAAATTTTGTTGCTTTAGAATATTTGACAAATCCTACCTCATAAGTTTTGAGGTATGTTTAATTATGGGCCATAACAAAATTTATATAGTTTTTCTATAACTATTTCTTATGCTATTTTTTATAGACATTCTAAAGCAAATAGCCTATAGGAAAAGGTTTCTTTCGACTAAAAAGTGTGATTCGAAAAATATTTTATAGACTTTTTGTAATTGGAATTTTGAGACCATATGTTTCAAAATTTTATAAAAATATGGAAAATGTATACCCATTTTGTATAT